TCCACGCTGTCGACCTGCACAACAACAACAACAACAACAACAACAACAACAACAACAACAACAACAACAACAACAACAACAACAACCACAATAATAACCACCAGAAGACGAAGAAGAAGACGAAGACGAAGAAGAAGACGAAGATGAAGAAGAAGAAGAAGAAGAAGAAGAAGAAGAAGTATATATTTTTAAAAAATTTGAATGAATCATAGATTTTTAAGAATATTCTTTTCTTCAATGTTCTTAATTTTAAAAAGATATATTTTTCATTATGAATCAATTGCCTTGGTTAAGTATTATTGAAATATTTCCCATCTTTGCAGGATTTGTTATTCCATTACTTCCTAGTAGGGAAGAAGAAGAAGAAGAACAACAACAACTACAAGAAGAGGGGTGGAGGCCATACCTGCATCAGCCATACTTAACTGGGCGCCATAGTCGTGCTCCACACTGGCGACCTGTACAACAACAACAACAACAACAACACATACCTGGGTCAGCCGTACTTAACTGGGCGCCATAGCCGCACTCCACACTGGCGACCTGAAGAAGAAGAAGAAGAAGAAGAAGAAGAAGACGAAGAAGAAGAGGGGCAGAGGCCATACCTGCATCAGCCGTACTTAACTGGGCGCCATAGCCGTGCTCCACACTGGCGACCTGTACATCCAAACTGGCGACCTGTACAACAACAACAACAACAACACATACCTGCGTCAGTGGTACTTAACAGGGCGCCATAGCCGTGCTCCACACTGGCGACCTGAACAACAACAACAACAACAACAAGCACAACCACATGAAGAAGAAGAAGCAGAAGAAGAGGGGCGGAGGCCGTACCTGCGTCAGCGGTACTTAACTGGGCGCCATAGCCGTGCTCCACACTGGCGACCTGCACAACAACAACAACACATACCTGCGTCAGCGGTACTTAACTGGGCGCCATAGCCGTGCTCCACACTGGCGACCTGCACAACAACAACAACACATCCCTGGGTCAGCGGTACTTAACTGGGCGCCATAGCCGTGCTCCACACTAGCAACCTGAACAACAACAACAACAACAACAACAACAACAACCACAACCGCATGAAGAAAAAGAAGAAGAAGAAGAAGAAGAAGAAGAAGAGGGGCGGAGGCCATACCTGCGTCAGCGGTACAATTGACGGCTTATTTTCCTTGGGATTGGGGCATGCAGTTGGGCTGTGAGGCTAGCAAGATTGGTGTGGATGCAGTCCGAGAAATTACGGACTGCACTAGGATGCCCGGACCAAGGGGAAAGGGCTGCGACGTGCCCGAAAATACTAGAAAATGGCGCCGCGGCGCTCGGAGAGTGTGACGGTAAGGCGGTGACGATACGGCAGGGGCCCGCGGCCGGGAAAACATTGACGACAATAATAAACCGGGACTGGCGGGGACATGGGAAGTCCCAAATAAAAATTGGGCGTCAACCGGGGTGGCGCCGGGGACCAAAAGGGCCGAAGTGAAAATTGTCGGGAATCGGGCTTATCGACGGCACCACCGGCGAAACGGAAAATTGGACTAATATGGGAAGCGGCGGGGATTTGAGGTGTCCCAAGGAGGAGACCAGTAGCCAAAGTAAGGAGTGGCCGTGAGAAACAAAACGACACCGGCGAGATCGAAGATCTCGACGGTGGAAAGTATTAGCACACTGGTGCAAGGACTAGCGGAGCCCAAAACGGGGAGGCGGAGAGTGTAATTAAAGAAAACTGAGCAGAGGGAGGGCTGCCCAGCAGTCTGAGATATCTCGGACTTGCTAGACATAAGAAAATAAGAGCCCAAGGGGCTCTAAGCAAGAAAAAAACTAGCCATGGAAAATCGGAACCAAGGGGGCTCAAAATCAGACAAACAGAGACAAAATGGAGCCCCCTAGGTGCTTGGGAGTGACATCATTGTGATCCAAGGTACAACGGCCAACAGCTAGTCATGAACCTGGTCAGAAACGTGGATCCTAGGCCTATAAAGAGAATGCACAGCAGTTTGACACTTGTCACAACAATAATAAAAGAAAAAGGGGAGAAAAAGGAAAGAAAGTGGAGGGAGGGTGAGACAAAATAGGAGAAATGAGTGGAGGGAAATGCCGACAGGTAGGGACTGCTGCCGTAGGGACTGGCAGGTCCCTACTGTGACCTCATCCCTCCTAGATTCAAGGAGGGCACAACAGATTGCAGAGATATGGCCCTTGGGGCCATATCTCCAGAAAATCTGAATTAAAAAAAAAAATAAAAAAAAATCTAAAGAGAAAGCAAAGAAAAATGGCCGGTTCATTTTTTGGCCATAGATTTGAGATTAGATCTCATGGAGGAGATAATCTGGCCGTTTTTTATGAGGTCATCACAAACGGCTAGCTCCGGAATGAGGTGGCAGCCCAAAATGGGAAGAAACAAAAGAAAAGAAAAAGACAGGACTGTGCATCTGGCCCAAACAGAGGCCGGATGCATCACGAATCGAGAAAAAGGCCTTGTGGGCCTAAAACTAAAGCAAGGACTACCATGGGGTAGCTCGGAATAATTCTGGCCTTGGAGCTCAGTCAGATCCAAGGCTGAAAATGCAGCGCCACATTGGAAAATGGTCCGGCTTACCCAAGGTGGGCCAAACTCGAAAAAATGGTGAGAAAAGCCCCTTGTAGGCCTTTTTCTCCAAATAGGAAAACAGTTTTTGGGTGTGGGTCTAGAGGAATATATTTTTGAAAGGGGTAGAGGCCTTGAGGAGGCCTAATGGCAATCCTAGTTGGTACCAACCACTCGGACTGCATGTACCTAACCCAAAAGAGGTCCAGGTGCTCCCGGAAAAGCCTAAACTGAAAATTGGCCAAGGGGGGCACCTCGGTCCACCTAGAGGCACTTGGGGAGGCCTAGAGGTTGGGCGGTGCACCAATTTCAGCCTACATAAGCTGGAGGTGCAGGCCGCCACTCTCACTTGAGCATGAGAGAAGCCCATGCTGCCAGAATTAGTCCATGAGAGAATCCTAGTGGAATAGAACAAGAAAGAGAGAGTCGGAGCTAGCCTGGAGCCTGGTTATGGTGATAGGGCTGAGGAAGAAGGCCTAGAGGTTAGGAGGAAGCAAGGAGAGTGGTCCGCCATAGCCCTCAGGATGTGAGGTAGGAGGAGAGGCTAGAAGGGGTCCCCTTAGCCCTTCTAGAGGGAAGGAGTCCATAGCCTTAGGAGTAGGAGCCTTGCCATAGCTTGAGAAGAGGTGTGAAGAGAGAAGGAGAGAGTTTGGGGAGAGGGAAAGCCATACTCAAGGAGCTAGAGCCAAGCCTGGGACTCCACGGCCTAGGGACAAGCAAAAGGTGAGTGAATGAGGAGGAAGTCTTTCCTTCTTCTTCTTCTTCTTCTTCTTCTTCTTCTTCTTCTTCCTCTTCTTCTCCTTCTTCTTCTCCCTCTCATCCTTCTTCTCCTTCTTCTCCTTCTCCCTCTTCTTCTCCTTCCCCTTCTTCCTCTCCTTCCCCTCCTTCTTCTCCTCTCCCTTCCTCACCTTCTTCCTCCCTCCCAAACTGTGATCTTAGCTGATCTTGATGCTTGTGTATGTTGCCATTCATCTTGGGATACTTCGGTGTACTTTCCTCAAGTGTAGATGCTCTCAAACTTGTGTTTTGGTTGATCTCGATGCTTGTGTGTGTTGCGATTCATCTTGGGATATTTCGGTGACTTTCCTCTTGTGTAGATGCTCTCAAACTTGTGTTTTGGCTGATCTTGATGCTTGTGTATGATGCGATTCATCTTGGGATACCTCGGTGAGCTTTCCTCTAGTGTAGATGCTCTCAAACTTGTGTTTTGGCTGATCTTGATGCTTGTGTGTGTCGTGATTCATCTTGAGATACTTCGGTGAACTTTCCTCTTGTGTAGATGCTCTCAATCTTGTGTTTTGGCTGATCTTGATGCTTGTGTGTGTTGCGATTCATCTTGGGATACTTCGGTGAACTTTCCTTTAGTGTAGATACTCTCAATCTTGTGTTTTGGCTAATCTTGATGCTTGTGTGTGTTGCGATTCATCTTGGGATACTTCGGTGAACTTTCCTCTAGTGAAGATGCTCTCAAACTTGTGTTTTTGCTGATCTTGACACTTGTGTATGATGCGATTCATCTT